ATGGCGTTAAAATCACCCTCCATCCCATTCCTATGTATCCCTTCAACCAAACACAAAATAGGTCAATCCCATACCTTGTTGACCAAATAAAAAATGGAGTCATCTTGTCCCCATCCCGTCCTAGAAATAAGAGACGGGACCGTCCCATCCTACCTTACTCCCAACCAAATGCTACCTTAGTGGCCCGCCCAACACCACCTAAGTACGAATGAGCTCACGGTGGTTGTTTCCAAACCAAGCATCCTCTTCTTTGTTTCCTCCCTAGCTAGAGAGACCTCGTTGGCTAATTTCTAGCCACCTTGAATCCAAATGGGCAGCTAAAAATGAAGCCATTAGTCGATGGAGAGGCTAAAAGGGGCTAAAGTTGAAGATCAACCTAGTTGACCTCAAACACGGTGTCGTGTCCGCTCTGCCTCGCTGTAGATCCGATCGCCGCATCCTTCCATCCAATTACCGTGGTAGTGGATCTAGCTGCCCAAGCTATCAATCCAGCTATGCCAGGGCAATGGCTAGAAGCAGCTCGAAGCCCTTGGGCACCGGAGGCCAAAGACATAGGCATCAATGATGGTGTGGATGCGAGACACCCGAACATCAACATCTCTCGCCGCCCACCCCCGTCGACTTCATCTCCACCGACCACACCACCTCTGCCTCTAGCGCCACGTCGCTGCCTCCTCTAGACATATCCAGCCTCGACGCTGCACCACCTCCAGCCCAGCGAGGGTCAACCGCCACAGCCACCTCCGGCACCACACCACCTCCGGCCCAACCAATGGCAGATCTAAGACAAAGTTAGGAGTCACTTCTTCCATTGCCATCTTTCTCTAGCCCCTCCTTTCAAGCTTTCATGGATACCAATTTATAGGAGTGGCTCCTATTTCGGGTAGTGGTCGCGGGGCTAGTCGGCTAGAGTCCACCCCGCCGCGGTGCTAGATCCATGGGCCCTACAAGCACCAACCACCATAGCCTTCGACTAAGCAAGTGCTAGCTGCCTCAACTTCAAGGCTACTCCATGTGTGGTGAGAAAGAGAACAGAGAAATGAGGGGTAGAGAGGATGGTCCTAGGTGAGAGGATAAAGACAAGGGTAATTGTGGTCAGTTGCTAAGGTATCTACACAACGATTAGCCAAAGATCCAAACAGGCCCATCAAATTTTAGCTGCTGCTAACAATTAGCCCTAGCCATCCAATCAGAGCCATAGCAACAGTTCAGGCAAACATGACTATTCAAAACACAGTATTCACCTGGGATCTTTATCTTTATATACAACATTTTTTTTTTGAAGAAATAGTTCAGGCAAACATGACTATTCACCTGCGATCTTTATGTTTATATAGACAGCATTTGCATTTTTTTGAAGAAAAATACAACAGCATTTACGTTACTGCCCCCCTGAATAAAAAAGGATTCAAACATGAAGCAGGCAGGCTGTCACGGAAGAAGCTAAAGCAGCAGAACAGCAGACAGCTATGAACATTGTTCCTAACAGATTTACATTCCTATAATGCAAGTTCTGAACGATACAATCTTCTCACGGAGCTGGATAATTTATGAAGCTTAGGAGATTTCGTTCTTGTCGCTTTTCATCGTTCCAGAGGAAGACGGTTCACCACTGGAAGCCGGTGAGGCAGCAGCCTGTTGAGGCTCCTTCAGAGAAGTGGGCATTCCTGAAACTTCCTGGGGAAAAGAGAAAGCAAATGATGTATGTTATCATTATATGAGCCTTTACGGATCACAGCAAGCATCAAGAACAAAACTGCACTATAGAATAGGAAAAAAGGGAGACAAGGAGAAACAACTCATAGTCGAATCTTATTGTTTCCCCAAACAAATTGCATATCAATTTATAGTCATTACACCAACTTAAACCCATGCAACTTGGAACCCCAAAACAATCGTGCAGTTTACACAATGAGTTAGTCACTGGTGCCCTGACCCTAGTGACATGCACCTCACCTTATGCACTACAAGCTGAGGAACTTTATCACAGCCTGAATACGAAGGCACACCATTTTAATTTCTGAGTCGTCCCAATTATGTTTAAATGCATTGGAAGCTTAAATTACTAAACAGTGTGCCACAAGCATGTTCGTCACTGATGTGCTGACCCTAATGACATGCACCTCACCTTTTCCACAGTGTGACATGAACCAGATCATCATCTCAGAGTTTTTCTAGCAAATAGTTCCTTTTTTCAATCCTTTTTGAGAGTCAATCTTGTATATGTTGAGTTACTGGCTTACAGCTAACAATTATAATAAATCATAACTTGAGTTTGGAAAAGTTAGATCAACAGACAAATCAGCTAACTGCCTCAGGTCCCCAAACAAGCAACACAACCAACAGACAAGAATGGAAGGGATCTGACAAGAGGTAAATCATTTGCTGATAGTGAAACAACATAAAAGCAACTGATATGATCCCAACAACTCAAAGCAATTAGCAAAATGCTCCATAGAAAAAACTGAATCAGGCAAGAATCTGTATGATTAAAAAACAAAATAAATTAAGGCTCACTATCATACGTCTAATGGAGGCCCCCCAACCTAGAGCAAACGGGCCGAGGAAGGCCCAAGGAGGGCCGCCGAGCACCTCCAGCGCGCCCTAGAGGGGCTGCGCGTGCAACCACCAGGGGCACCGCCGCTCCCGCCGCCGTCGTTTCCGGAAGGAGTTACCATATCAGAGTTTGGTTAGTTTACCATATTAGAGTTTGGTTAGTTATGGAAGGGAGAATCCAATCTATAAGGATCTCTCGTAAGTTGCTTGGAACACAAGTCCAATAGGGACTATAAATACTAGGGGGATGTAATCAATCGAACCAAGTAATAGAAGAGCAATTGCTCCTTCCTATCCCTCTCTCCTCTCCTTCCCCTGCCTGCCGCCTCCTCTCCCTGCACCGCCCTCTCCCCCATAGCCGCCACCTCCTCCTCCTACCGACACGCTCAAGCGCCACAATTTGGCGCCACGTCCCTGCCTACCTCGCCCCCGACGCCAACAACTGCATCCACGACTTCGTCGCACCAGCAAGGGAGATGCTGCACTTCACCTTCGGGGCAGCAATTCCCCGCCCCCTGCTTGTCGCTGTCCGCTAGGCGACACGAGCTAGCATGGACACGGGAGCGCACAACTACTTCTTCTACGGCTACATCAGGAACCTCCTCTACTACTTCGAGTTCACGCCAACACGCACGAGGGAGAACATCATCATCTCCAACCCCCGTCTACGGCCGCATGTTCGCCCACATCGAGGCCATCCTACCCGGACAAGCGTTCCCGCCCAATGGTGTCAACGATTGGACACTACTTCGGCACGAGGATGCGCCGAGTGGAGAAGGGGTGTGTCATACATCTAATGGAGGCCCCCCAACCTAGAGCAAACAGGCCGAGGAAGGCCCAAGGAGGGCGCCGGGCACCTCCAGCACGCCCTAGAAGGGCTGCGCATGAGCCAGGAGGGCCGCCGCCGCTCCCGCCGCCGTCGTTTCCAGAAGGAGTTACCATATCAGAGTTTGGTTAGTTTACCATATTAGAGTTTGGTTAGTTATGGAAGGGAGATTCCAATCTATAAGGATCTCTCGTAAGTTGCTTGGAACACAAGTCCAACATGGACTATAAATACTAGGGGGATGTAATCAATCGAACCAAGTAATAGAAGAGCGATTGCTCCTTCCTATCCCTCTCTCCTCTCCTTCCCCTGCGCTTGCTGCCTCCTCTCCCTGCGCCGCCCTCTCCCCCATAGCCGCCACCTCCTCCTACCGGGCTCTTACTGATAGGACGTGAGGTCCTACCGGAGTTGCTGCGGAGGTTGTAGGGATGGAAGAGGGGAGGGCGAGGTCTGATCTCTCGGCGACGGCGTGGTGCCGTGGCGGCGAGAGGAAAAGGCGACGGTTGCTCGCTGCTGCTGCCCTAGGGCTGTGCGTGAGAGGAGGCAGGGAGGCCAGGAAGTCACGTATGCAACCCTTGGCCCATGAGGCCAGGCAAATAATGTTTGCCTTGCTTAATTCCAATCATCCCAGATTACAAGTATTTATCCTTCCCTATAGATGCTATAATTAAGGAACTATATCTATCTCTAAGAAAATACCAAATAAGCGATAAATTGGGCCTCTAAACCCCTTAATAGAGCCGGCCCCCTAGCCACTATTGGGCCTGCGCCTGGCATAGGGGATGCCGGTCATAACACTTACACTCACCAAGCTTGTCACGATCAAAATAAATCCAACTCCTCAAACCCCTCTTTATAGCTCACCAAACAAGATTAAGTGGATGCTCTCTGTATATTTTTTCGAATACGCAGGAGAGCTGCGCATCTTTGTATTATAGAGAGGAAAAAAATGGCCCGTATACATTACCAACTCATGCCAGTACCATACATGAGAAGGTTGGAAACATTTTACAACACAATTACTCGAAAAATACTTTTAATGACCAAACAGCAAGGCAAAGACTCATCCAAAAGCTCCTATCCTATGCAGACTGAGAGCATGAAGTTTCTTAGCTCCAGCTAGGCACCAAAGCTTAAACTCATCTCTAAACTATCGCAAAAGCTCACTAACAGAAGGGGAGTCTCCACAAAGACACAGGCATTATGGTGCTTCCATAGCAACCACGCGATCAAAATGATTAGAGAATTTGCTCCTTTCCTGTGCTCATGCTATCTGTATATATAGTTTGACCCGACTTAGAATAGCCAGTTGATTTTATGAAATTACTACTGGTTGCAACAAGTACTTTAAAACAATGGTTATATTCAAGAGTTGCCATTGCTTAGGATGGAGATTGTGGGAACAATGGGAATACTAAAAATTTTCATCTGTTCAACTGATTGGTAGTACACTTTTTTGTACAAATTATGAGACCCATCTATGAACAACCAAAAAATACAGAGGGGAGGTGCACACATGACAAGAAGATAAAGCAGAACGTTTTATAAAACATAGATGACTGGTTTTGGGGATACTTTTAACCTTTGCTTGGACTAGCCGAGCAACCATTATTATCGCTTACCCTTTCTCACTAAATATGTAGAGGCACCTCTCTAGTATCTAGACACAATAAAATACATTGGTGCCAGCAAATAGTCATGCAAACAATAAATAAGAAGGAAACTAACAAGAACAAAGCATTTATCTACAAGGGGAACACTTCGTCGCAAAAGAAAAACATATGATAAATTCCTAAGATAGAGGAACCACAGTCAACCTTGATTATAATAAATATAAATATACCTTCATAAGATGCAACCTGAGATCAGTCGGGCGAACATCCTCACCAATGCAGACCATAACAAATTGCGAATAGTGAAAAAGAACGTCTGCAGCAGCTTGCTTCTTTTGTTCAGTCTGCATCACATCACTCACTATAAGAGCACATACAATCACAATTCAGAGTAAATTTAGACCTATATCGACGTGACAAAAAAAAATGCTATGTTATTGTGGATGATGTTTGCATCCTCTACAAAACCCCATTATTCTAATGCCACATGATTAAACATCATGATCTAGTCAGAGTCCAATGTAACTCAAAACAAATATGTATTTATAGTGCTATAAATATTTCTTCCTTTTTGCAAAATATACAATTATATATATCCAGCTCTAATACCCTAGGCATTAAAGTTTGCACTATCACCCAAAAATATGTTGACAATTGATTTTTTGTTTCCATTCAATCTAATCACACCCAAAAACAGTACAAAACTACTAAACTTTCTCAGAACCATTATATCCCTAGAATTTGTATACATGAAGTCATCAATCGAGAAATCTACCCAAGTACAAGTAAAAACTAAAGATGAACTCATCCAAAAGCAAACGATACTCCAGTTCTACCTACCTAAATATCTTGCCCTAAATATAGTAGTTAGATATGTCACTTGTTCATCCACCATCTAACTGTCAATTGATCAATAAGGCCGTAACTCCACACGTGTCCAAACTAGTACAAAACTAGTACAATTCTATCGTAATAGTAAGTGGGGCAACAGAGCAACAGCCAGGAAGAGAGCAAAGAACTGGAACGTACCTCGTAGTCATCCTCGGCGGCCATAGAACTGCTCCGCGCAGCCATTCTTAATCTGTCTCCTTACTCTGTCAAGAGGAGGACATGAAAGCGGGTTAGGCAGAGTCTGGTTGATGCGGGAGCACGGGGATTCAGCTAATTAGATCAGATCCGAATACAAATAGCTTACATCAGGGTTTGGGTGTTCTGTTTCGCACAAGAAGGGAAGACAAGGTGGCGGTGGCATACCTGGTGGGTACTCGTCGCCGGCGAAAGGTACGATGAAGACCTTGGCACCTGGCGTAGGACGGAGCGGCGGCGCACGGCCAGTCGTCGCAGCCACTCGCCAGAAAGAAAGTCGAAGAGAGAGCGCGCGCGGGGTGACCGGAAGAGGCAGGGGCCAGGGCCAGGGATGTGTGGTGAGGGGGGAAAAAATCGATGGAAACGAGTGCATATGACCGGCTTGGGACAAAGCGGTGATCGAATGGTCGCTGGATTTCTCGTGTGCCTGCGGCGTGCCTTAACATGAAAAAAAAACTTCCATTTGCAATTATAATACGTTTTGTCTTTTCTAAATACGTAACTTTTACTATATATTTAAATATACATTAGGTCTATATTTATATAGTAAAAACATTATATTTAGAAAAAAATCAAAATATTTTATAATTTAAAATTAGTAGAGTGCAAGTCTATATTGTACTATTAGCAGAAAAATGATACTTTAAACGCAATGTTTGTAACATTTTATTTGAAGCCAATCATCATCACTATTATATGAGAAATTAGTCTCAAACGAACTTATATATGTGTGGCATGACAGAGAAAAGAAGAAGGGGGGGGGTCGATTTTGTTAACTTCGTGCAACAGTTGGCTATTAATTTTGTTCTATCTAGACGCTCAACATTGCATTACCAGACCATGAAGAGTATACTCTCACAGTGCTAAATAGTTCACATAAATTCCTGAGCAGCGGAAACAAGAGTGATGGTGCCAGAAGGAAGAAGAGTACCTTGGGGGCAAAAAGGAAGTGTTGCCACTCCTGTGGTTTGCTTCATCCACCATGTTCGCTTAGATTTATAATCCATACTTTTCAATGAATAAACAATATTTTTCTCTCACAACAAATCAGTCAACAGTACTTTCAGCCATATCTTATCAATCAAACGAACAGGGCAATAGTCCACCAATATTCCAGTCGTGGAGTAGCTGATTCTTAGTGATCTTTGTATATATAGGTAAAAACTTTAAAGTAAGGTTCCTAGGTAAAAGGTAAGGTTTCTTTTGAACATTTAAAGGTATTGCTACATTCTTACTAATTTCTTATCAGATGCCAGACCAAATTTCATCACTACAAGTCTATCTACACCATACACTTTGGAATTGTCTAATCCTTTTAATAAAATGTGAAAATAATTAGCTAGTTTTACGTTCTACTACTATATATAACAATTATTATAATTAGTAAACCTATGTGAAAAGTTTGTGGTTCTTGATCTACCGATGATATTTGATATTGGAATCTTATAATTATGTCAAATCATATTAGAAAATCAAAAGCTTATCCGGTGGGGCCAAATAAACAACAAATAGAGAATGGTATTGTTGACGCTTAATTAGATCACACACTCGATAAAGAAGCTAGATCGCTCGATGTAGGGCCTAGCAGATTTTGGGATCGGCCGACGCCTAGGGGATGTCCACACTTGGACCCTATGCCTCCAGCGATGAGCACGCAGGATACATCGCCGGAGGAGCCTAGCCGGGAGCGCGATACGGAAGACACGCCGGCGATGTCTCTTAAGACCCGAAACCCCACACGCCTAGGAGGGACCCCGTCAGGGCGTGCGACGGCTATGGGCTGCTCTAGCCGGCCTGACCGCTCTAGAGCATCGTCGTTGTGACACCCCAGGTGTCAATTTTAAGTTAAGCAATGAATTAAGTCTAATCTAAACAAGTCAAAGGATGATTATGAGCTTTAGTTTAACACCTGACAAGTGGTGACAGAGGTAGAGTCAAATTCTCTCAAATATGACCTAACTTAAAGTTTTTCAAAGGCAAAGACAAAACTCTTTTGTTCAAAAGTAAATTTTATTTCAAAATGTGCATGAGTAGTTTTAATCATGTCTTTTCATGTGCATCACCTAATCATGAACATATTCTGGTCACATGAAAAGTTGCATGTTGTTTTGGATAAAAAGTTATATTGTCGGGGACCAATATTATGGTATCCGAAGAGAAGGAGCTAACGACCGTCGAACGTTGATTCATTCGCACAATCAAGAGCGCGACTACACCGCTTACCGGGTCATTCCTTGTTCGTCCACTGGGACCATGGGCCCTGCCCCAAGCTGACTCCACCTCGCCCGACGTCCTAGGGCTGGCTCTTCCTCGCCCGACGTTTGAGGGCGATTCCCTCCCTGATCCCCGGGCCGGCTCTCGCCTCGTCCAGACATCTCGAGGGCGCACACCGCCGCTTCGACCCCTAGGGGCTAGCTCCGCCTCGCCGGCGTCTAGGGCCTAGCTCTGCCTCGCCCGACGTCCGGGGGATGGCTCCGCCTTCCCCGACCCCGGGGGCTGGCTCCTCCTCGCTCGACGTTTGAGGGCAGACTTTGCCTCGCCCGACGTCTAGGGGATGGCTCACCTCCACCCCCGACCCCAGTGGCTCTCCTCCCCCCACCCCCTGTCACGCCTCACCCCCGACGTCGAGGGCGCGCTCGACTTGTCCGACATCTGCGCGATGCTCCTTCATAACTACGCGCGCAGATAAGGCAGGACACTCAAGTCAACCGCAATACCAAGGACCATACCCTACACGCCTACAGGAAAGTACCGTCAGGATATGACAAGACGGGCGCTTTAAAGCCCTTCCGGACATGTCAGAGCCCAAACAGTGTTGTGGGCGCCAACATTTGTCTTTTAGTGTTATGGGCGTCGCCATTTGCCCTCGGGCGTGGATCCTGACGGAAGAATACGACAACCACTACGGTCCAAGAGGAGACTCACATCCTCTACAGTGACGGACGTGCGGTCACTGCATCGTCCGCTCCCCGTAGGGTCGCGGATCAACACCCTAGGACGTGACCACTTGCAGATCAAGCCAGAGCATGGCATCATCAGCGAACAGACACCCAACATGGAGCTATCCCTGGCATCATCTGCCGTGTCAGCAGGGCTCGCTTAGAGGAAAAGAAAGACCCAGCACCTTCGAATGACCTTCTTTGCCTCTGGTTTTTCTTATTTCTCCCATCTGTAATCCCTACTTCCCCTTGGTCTATAAAAGGGAAGGCAAGGCACTCCACTAAGGGGACCGATCGATAGAACACACCATGCATCACATAACATATAGCTGAGCAACAACAAAGCTCTTAGCATCCTTTCAACCTTTCCATTGGAGACTTGGGACCTGTCCCTCTTTCGCCTGTTTGTAACCCCTACTACGAACCTTTCAGTGCTAATAACACGAGTAACAGCTGCAAACTAGACATAGGGACATTCTGCCCAAACCAATATAAACCTTGTGTCTTTTAGCACACCATCAGCGTCCAATGTGCAATAATACAAATTTACTCGTTGGTGTTTACTCGAAACACCGACAGTTGGCGTGCCAAGTAGGGGCCTTTGCGCGTTCCAACATTAACATTAGGCCATGGATGGCCAGCCACGATATCAGCTGGGTCCCGGGCGCACACGTGCGCTTCAGGGACCTGGACTTCATCGTCACGGTGGGAGGAGAGTTGGCATTGGCTCACGCCGCCATCCAACCTCTCCCTTCCATCGACCACGACTACAGGAGGCTTGGGCACCAGCTCGGTGTCTCCTTGGGACCCCAGCCATCCAGGGTGGACCCACGTTGCCTCGCCTTCTCTAACGCCAATGTCGTGGCGTGGCTCACCGGAGAGGAACCCTTCTCTCCGAAACACCTCATACGGAGCGCCCCGGCAGTGCTTCCGTTCGGTCTCCGCAACGCCACGGCGACCGTTAGCCACCTTATGGCACAACGCATGTTCCCACCTCCCACGAATGACGAATTCATGGGGGTGATCGAACACGTCACGGAATCTTTCCATGACCTCCTAGCAGAGGAGCTAGAGTCGCTCTCTAGCTCTGACTCTAGCAGGGGAAGCCATCATCCCTCCTGTGAATGTTTCATGATGGGTGTCCCCGAGGGACACGTCGAAAGCATTCGCGAGGAGGAGGCTACTCCAATGGACAACCTTGGCAACGAGGTCGAGGGGGAGATAGCGGCCCCACCTCACATGCGGGTGGAGCAGCTAAAAGCCCGACACCGAGAGATAGAGGAAGCGTGGCTCTAGCTCGAGCAGGAATGCGCAGAGCTTGATCGGGAAATCGAGTGCCACGAAGACGGAGGGCACGCACGCGTCATGGCCCGCGATGTGAACCGAAGGATCATCGCCGATGATGAAGCCCTTCCTCGCTTCGCCTCGGCAAGCCAGAACATCGCCGCTACTTTGGCCCTGATCCATGGTCTTCCAGAGGCCGCAACGCCCGAGGATCATCGGGCCCACCATGAGATTCGCACGCTGCTCAAGCGTGCGGCGGCGTAGTAGGCCAAAAGCTCGTTGTCTCAGCAACGCGAGCTTGATGCCAGCCAGCATATGCCCTTGGAGCACTCCGACAAGGATGCGTCGGTCCACCAGGAGACACAAGGAAGCAGACAGCGCACCACGGTCCCAGTGCATCAGCGTCTCGGCCACAGCCGTGATGCACGCAACACCCTCGACACCCGCAGACGTGCCTACGATGACTCGAGAGAGGGAGCCAGCCGTGGCTACCACCCTCGTCGTGGCAGACACTACGACAGCGGCAAAGACTAAAGCCCGAGCCTCGGCCTGCCGGGGCCTTAGGCCTTCGGCCGACACATCCTCAATGCTATCTTCCCACCAAGGTACCGGCCACCAACCAATATCCCAAAATACTCTGGGGAAACAAACCCCGGACTATGGCTCGAAGACTATCGGCTTGCCTACCAAGCCGGTGGTGCGGATAATGACGACTTCATTATCCGTAACCTTCCACTGTTCTTGGCCGATTCGGCACGAGCATGG